AAAAAAAAAAAAAAAAAAAAAAAATATATATATATATATATATATATATATATATATGAACTTGTCTGGGTGCAGTGGTTCATGCCTGCATCCCAACACTTCGGGAGGCTGAGGCAGGAGGAGTGTTTGAGTCCAGGAATTTCAGACAAGTCTGGGTAACATCACGAGACCTCATCTCTACAAAAATTTTTTTTAAATAGCTAGATATGATGGTGCATGCCTGTAGTCCCAGCAACTTGAGAAGTCAAGGTGGAAGGATCGCCTGAGCCCAGGAGGTTGAGGCTGTGGTGAGCTGTGATCATGCCACTGTACTCCAGCCTGGGTGACACAATGAGACCCTGACTCAAATAAATAAATAAACAGTAAAAATATAAGCTCAATTTCTTTTGAAATCTTTGAAAGCTGAGGTGGACCATACCATTATCACACTGAACTTTTATAAGCTATGCCAATGAATTTTTAATTTTAAAGAAAAGAAAATGTACTTCCAAAGAACATTTGAAGTCCTGTGGACTTTTTATTCTGCCAAGAATATAGTGATAAGCACATTACTCTTGAAAACTGAATATTGGTAAAATGAAAAATTGAATTGAGTAATAAGTACAGTAACATGAATCTTAAGGTAGATGATAAACTCAGAAATGTAGATCTCTATATTAAGAAAGCTCTGTGGAAGACAACATAATAGAAGCAAGTAAGAAAAAAACCTAGCTTGTATATTTGTCAATAATCTTAAAAGTCAAATGGCCCATTAAAGGTGAATCTTTCATTTTACAGATGTAAAAACAAGGCCCTTTTGGGTTAAGTGATTTGCCCAAGATAATAGCATGTATACAGTTTTCAAACTGTGGTACTCTGGACATCTCTTTGCAGGTGGTTCTGCATGTACTAGGGTAAATTACATCACTCATTCCAAGGTTGAGAAACAAATTCTAAAGCATTTGGTAATCATACATTTAACTATGAAGTGCCACAAATAACACAATAGCTATTATAAATGTAATGATTTGAATATGATTTTGTTAAATAGAAAATTTACAAAGCATTAACAAAAAAGAGAAACAGAGAAACTTTGATTTGATAACAGATAATTATAATTAATAGTTGCATTGGATGCAATACAGAATTTATTTAAAATGGGCATATTTTTCCCATTATAAGTATAATTAAGTTGAAAGTTGAAAATCATATTTTAAAAATTTGTTTTTTCATATTTAAGGGTTTTTTAAAAGTAATGCACTGTGATGCTAAACTCTCAGTCATAGCAAATACATTGATTCCATATTATCTACATTCTATTTTATCCAAATATATTCTGAGGGTCTCCTATGTTCTAAATGTTTAAAATGCAAATCCATTTAAAACAAAAGCACAAATAAGCTGGTCATCACCATATAATAAACACTGCACAAAGTGGAAATAATTTAATCAGTAGATATTCTTGTTAAAGTATACATACAGTTCAAGAATGCGTGTGAGGGTGTATGCTTGAGGGGGAAGGGAGTAGGTTTAATCTACACCTTTAAATTATAGCATCATATCACATCATCCTGTTTGAATGGCTAACCTTCAAGTTTCTGGTTTTCTTTTTCCATTCGAAGCAACAAGATTTGCTGGTGTATAGCTTTTCTCCACAAACTCCTCAGTTCTTTTGACTTCTTTCTTTCTTCAACGTTTTCTGGGTCATCGTCACCAGACAGGAATATAACCAGCGGTTCCTCCTCCATGGTTGGAGTGAGAGGGGACAGTGGCAGCAACTCGTTCCTGTCCAGTCCATCTGCAGAGAAGAAAACAGTGAGAGGCATTCCTTCATAGTAACCCAGACTACAAGAGTTTCTCTAGAATTAACACCCCCCCATCTGATCTTCCACACTTAAAGGTTCTCACAAAGCCATTTTCCCAGCAACTGTTTCTGGAACGAATGATTTAAGTAAACTCACTGGACTGAATTCCCCGTCCAGATTTCCCTCCCATGATGAAATGAAAGCATAGGACATTTCACCACTTCCTCATTCTACACAAAAAGATCTATAAGGCAGGTGCTCCAAAATGAACTGGCCTTTCCCAGAGCCCACACTTCTGCAATTTACTCATATGTATTCCCTGGCTGTGCAGAACAAGAGGATTAAGGTCTACATTTGCCATCAGAATCCATCGAGAGGAAGGCAGCTGAGCAACACCTGGCCTGTCTGGCTGAGCACAGCCCTCCCTCTGCTTCCTCCTGCAACTCCTTTCTAACAGATCTTCCGGTGCTCATTCTCTCCTGTTCTTCCAGGCCATCTTCCACAATACTGCCAATTATGTTCCTATTAACAAACATGATCACATTACTTAAAGCATTTCAGGCCAGGCACAGTGACTCAAATCTGTAATCCCAGTACTTTGGGAGGCCGAGGTGAGAGGTCTGCCTGAGCTCATGGGTTTGAGACAGGCTGGGCAACTTGGTGAGTCCTCGTCGCTACAATAAATCAAAAAATTAGCCGGGCGTGGTAGTGCGGGCCTGTAGTTCTGGCTACTTGGGACGCTGAGGTGGAAGGACCGCCTGAGCCCAGCAGGTCGAGGCTGAAGTGGCCATGAGCATGCCACTGCACTCTACCCTGGGCGACAGAGTTAGATTCTGACTCAAAAAAACAAAAACAAAGACAAAAACAAAACCTTTCAATGGTTTCTTATATCCCAAAAAATAAAACCCAGCCTACTGAGAAGAACATAAATCCCTTCAGAGATTCCTGAAATCCCTGCCAAGTCATCTTTCCAGTCTCATGTCTCAATCTTCCATCCTCTGCGCCCATCCTGATGAATTTCTCATGATTCTCTGGCCTGGAGTTCAGTCCAGTGAGTCTAGAGTGTTGTCATTCCCTCTTTCTGCAGCATGGTTCTCCCAGCAATGAGATTTTGTTTTTGTTTTTGAGTCTGGATCTCATTCTATCACCCAGGCTGTGGTGCATTGGTACCATCATAGCTCAGCACAGACTCAACTTCCTGGGCTCAGGCCATCCTTCTACCTCAGCCTCTCAAGTAGCTGGGACTATAGGTGTGTACCACCACAGGAGCTAATTTTTTTATTTTTTTGAAAAGATGAGTCTCATTATATTGCCAAGGCTGGTCAGCAGTGAGTTTGAATAAACATCTAATTGTTCTGTGAAGCTTTCTCTGACCATCCCTAGCAGAGTTAGTTTCATCTTTAGTAATACCAGTTGTTTCATCTTGGTTATGAGTGTGTGTTTTCTTCACTAAACTCTGTCCTTACCCTTATTATTTACTTCCTTATGTTTCATTATTGTTTTTAAATTTTGTTCTGTGCCTCCTTTTCTAGCTTCTTGAGTTGAGAGCTGAAGTAAAGCTGATATTTGGCCTTCTTAGTTTTAAATAAATACACTCAGCTGGGTGCAGTGGCTCACACCTGTAATCCCAGCACTTTAAGAGGCAGAGGCAAGAGAACTGCCTGAAATCACAGGTTAGAGACCAGCCTGGGGAACATGGTGAGACCTCATCTCTACAATAAATTAAAAAGTTAGCCGGGCAGCTACTTGGAAGGCTAAGATGGAAGGATCACCTGAGCCCAGCAGGTCGAGGCTGCGGTGGCCGTGATCGTGCCACTGCACTCCAGCCTGGGCGGCAGAATAAGACTCAGACTCAAAAAAATAAAGTATAAAAATTAGCCGGGCTCGATGGCTCAGCCTGTAATCCCACGCCTTGGGAGGCTGAGGTGAGTGGATTGCCTGAGCCCACGGGTTCGAGACCCACCAGGGCAACTTGGTGAGACCTCATCTCTACAATAAATCAAAAATTAGCTGGGCATGGTAGTATGTGCCTGTAGTTCCAGCTACTTGGAAGGCTGAGGCGGAAGGATCGCCGGAGCAGAGTAGGTCGAGGCTGCGGGCCGGGAGCGGCCACTATACTCCAGTCTGGGCGACAGAGTGAGACTCCAAATCAAAAAAATAAAAAAACAAAAATAAAAAGTATAAAAATTGATCGACATTTCTATGTCACTCTGTTTTATGTGTGACTCATAAGGATTATGTTGCTTTTCTAAAAATAAAAAGATGTGTGACTTCTTTTCTGCACTATCATAGCTCCCTCTGCGTTTTGGAGTAGATCTAAATACAGGTTTTGGCAACTCATTCATTCATTCCACAAGCAGGTAATTAATGTCTAATATGTCTAATGATGCCTGAGAAGTAAGTCTCTATATTAGATACAGAAAGAGAAGTTATTTCTCTACAGAAGTCACGTAAATCTATTTATACAAAAAGCATTTGCATTCCATTTCCTAATTTCTGACACTGGTAAGGAGTAATTCCTTAGAGAGTACCACACAGACCTTGCTGCTGCATTGCTGAGGGAGATTTGTTCATGGGAGAAGCAACCCTGAGGAAGATGCGCTGCCGCCACGAGATTCGGCGAGGAGTGACAGAGCTTCCCCCGACACTTAGGGACTCATTGCTGCAGGTAGAAGAGGTCCTTTTTCTGCCTTCTCCATCACTGTAGAAAGCAAATGAACATGTAACTTGTAAGGAGAACCACAGAGGATGGCACTCCACATGAAATGGGAGCACAAGCCATTCACAAGTTCCGCCACGGCAAGCACAAGCCACAGGCAGCATGGAGCAATGCGTCACTAGGCACACCGGTCACCCAGACCACAACTTCCTGGGAAAACTGCAATCTAGGCCACAGTCCAGTCATGAGAGGCTTCCCTGTTTCTACTCATTCCTTAGTAGGCAACCAGTTTTCAATCGAATCTGAGGAACAGAAATACTTAGAAGGAGGCGTACAGGTTGCTTAGATAATGAATTCATGCTTTGTAAAGAAAGAACATTAGTAGCTTATTCTAAACACTGAACATTCCATAAAAGGCTATTAAAGAGTTTTTCTGATAGCTCTTATAAAGTAGGTTGATAAAGACAGCTTCTTATTGCCTGCTACTGTTAATACCTGTCTTTGAATTGTTGGCTACCAGTAGCCAGATCATGGCAAAAAATAACTTGAATATAGGCAAAAAAGGGCAACCTTAGGATTACTGCTAGGTGATATACTAAGAAAAAAAAAACTGGGGTAAAATAAGATTGAATTGGCTAAGATAAAAAATATCAGTCAGATTTCTTTATAGCAGAACTTGTTAAAGACTTAATATGCTGGCATGCATTATGACTCTCCAACAGAGAAATAATATATAGAAATTCCCTAACTTATTTAAATTCATTGACACTAAAATCACCTCTCCTAATGTGGGGGAGGGGGTCAGTGGGTGTCACAGAGTTTTATATTAGTGCTTTGTGAAACTCACGTATGGAACAACTCCTCTGCTCTAAGAATTTCATTTCCGAGAAAAGATCACTCTGAGTTATGCTAGGCCTATTTGCAATAAAAGGTCAGTCCAACTGAAAATTACTTTTGAGATCAACTATGTTTGCAGCTGGAAGACTACACAATAATTGTTGCTGTTAGTGGTAGGAATATTTTACATTTTTTCACAGTGTAGGAGATTTCCTGAAAGAATGACGAAGGTACCAGTATATATGGGCTATGATACCAACAAGTGAAGGTATAAGACTTTTGATGGAATTGAGAAGTTCAGTACATAGGCCAGAAATTAAGTTCAGCTAAAAAAGCCACAACACCCTAAGATACTCTGAGGAACTCAACAGTCGGAGGCAGTTAACACTGTGAGAAGAGCAATTCAACACCTGTCTGTCATATTTTTATTTACGCTGTGTGTGCATACTTACAGTTATCAGGCAATTCAGTTATTTCTAATCTGGAACGTTTTTCTGGAAATATTACTTCTGGATTAGCCAATTAAAGTTAGGAAAAGGATACACCTCAGAGAAGCTCTGCAGACAGCAAGTATCATGACAGGTGATGATACTTCAGAAAGCATAGTAGGTCGAGCATGGTGGCTCAAGCCTGTAATCGCAGCACTTTGGGAGGCTGAGGTAAGGGGACTATCTGAGCCCATGGGTTCAAGAACAGCCTGGGCAACTTGGCGAGACCTCATCTCTACAATAAATAAAAAACATTAGCTGGGTGTGGTAGTGCATGCCTGTAGTTCCAGCTACTTGGAAGGCTGAGGTGGTAGGATCACCTGAGCCCAGTGGGTCGATGCTGGGGTGGCCCAAAGTGTGCCACAGCACTCCAGCCTGGGTGACGGAGAGACAGAGAGAGATTCTAGCAGTAAGGAAGGAAAGAAGGAAGGAAGGGAGGGAGGGAGGGAAAGAGGAAGGGGAGAGAGAGAAAGAGAGAGAGAGAAAGGAAGAAAGAAAGAAAAAGAGAAGAAGAAGGAAGGAAGGAAGGAAGGAAGGAAGGAAGGAAGGAAGGAAGGAAGGAAGGAAAGAAGGAAAGAAAGAAAGGAAAGAAAGAGAAAAAAGAAAGCAAGCACAGTAGCTGATACATATATCCCAGTATAGTCAAACCCCCTTTGTTATGTATCCTGGATAAAGTTATAGCCCTCATATGTGTTCACTGTTCAAAACTCTCTGCAATACTATGTTCATCTTTACTTCCACTTTGGAAAATACTAATGCCAAATATTTCTCTTTTAAAAATTGTGGTTCAAATGTTCTGTATATAATAGTTAGTTATATCCTGATAAATATACTTGAAGTACTCAGTGTCTTCAATTCCGGATTTTTGTTTGTTTTTGTCTTTGAGCCAGGGTCTGTCTCTGTTGCCTGATCTGGAATACAGTGGCATGATCATGGCTCAACACAGCCTTGAGCTCTTGACCTTAAGTGATACTTGTGTCTCAGCCTCCCAGGTAGTTGGGAGTATCAGCATGTACCACCATGCCTGGCTAATCTTTTGAATTTTTTCTGTAGAGATGAAGTGTCACTATGTTGCCTAAACTGCTCTGGAACTCCTAGGCTCAAGCAATCCTCCCACCTCTGCCTCCCAATGTGCTGGGATTAAAGGCATGAGCCACTGCACCTACTCAGTATCTTCATTTTTGTGATACTATCTCACTGTCAGTTATTTGCAAAATGCTCAGTTCACAGGTATATTTCTAGCTTCTAGTGTAGTAATGGGCCAACAGCAAGTTCTCAACAAATATCCACTGAATAAATTAATATTTTATAAAAACCAAATGGAATATTAACCCTGAGGGTTAAGTAAAACAGTCAAAACAAATATTAGCTAGGCTAGCATGTAAGGAATAAATAAATAAATGATTACTACCTTCTTAAAACCCTTTGTCAGTAGTCATGGCTTTAAGTCTTTCTGGCAGAAAGCCCTAATAACTTTGTTTCTTAAAAGTACAACTGAGATCCTGATGGCACTGGGAGGTATAGACCAAGACAATGCCATTAATAAACAACAAAAAGCATCATTTTTCTAGTAAGTGTTATTTATTTCCTACATAAGGACAAATTAGAATTTAAGCTTTGAAAGCTAAATGAAATGCCTACATAGAAGCACTTATTTCAATACCCCACAGGGTAAAACTTCAACAAAGATTCATTTCTCTTGACTTTTTTTAGCAGCTCTAAAAAACAAAACTAGCATCAACCAAATCAAAAGATTCTGAAAGGTTTGCATTTTAATGCTGGAATGAAAACATCTTTAAAATTATCTTCCAGCTCCCTGTAATGACAGCTATACCAAGTGTTTAGGAGGTACTGAAAATAATAAACTGAGCAATACCCATATCTGTTTCATGATTGCCTGTAAAATATAAGCTTTGGGGGAATGTGTTATAAAACAGGTGCATAAAGTACCCCTTCATTAGCCCACTGACACACATTTGAAAATTTCATAACATCTGGATTTTTAAACCCTGTAATATAAATAAACTGCCAAGTAATACATTTCCTTTCCATGTCTGGAACTGGCCAGTTATAAGCCAAAAATTAGCAGTCAAAATATAAAATAAGAATATGCTGAGCCGGGCTCGGTAGCTCAGCCTGTAATCCCATGCTTTGGAGGCTGAGGTAAGTGAATTGCCTGATCCCGCGGGTTCGAGACCCGCCTGGGCAACTTGGCGAGACCTCATCTCTACAATAAATCAAAAAATTAGCTGGGTATGGTTATCAAAAAATTAGCGCGCGCCTGTATTTCCAGCTACTTGGGAGGCTGAGGCGGAAGGATCACCGGAGCCCAGCAGGTCAAGGCTGCGGTGGCCAGAAACGGCCACTGCACTGCAGTCTGGGTGACAGAGTGAGACTCCAACTCAAAAAAAAAAAGAATATACTGAAAGGAAGAACTTATACAACCAGCCACTGATCCTTCATCCATACAAAAAAAAGGAAATCCTCAAAAAGCAGTTTGGTTGCTGAGATAAGGTGAAAGTGGCACTGCTTCATTTAATAAGAGAACGTATTCAGGAGTCAGGTTCCAGATAGAGGTTTCTCCAGTCAATGCACTTTTACAGCTTATAACAGTTTACTGTCTGACATTTTGTCAGCTATCTGACATTCTTTTTGTTGTTGAAGTCTCACTCTCTCGCCAAGGCTGGAGTGCAGTGGCATGCTTACGGCCACCACAACCTCGACCTGGTGGGCTCACGCGATCCCTCCACCTCAGCCTTCCAAGCAGCTGGAACTACAGGCATGCACTACCACACCTGGCTAATTTTTTTATTTATTGTAGAGATGAGGTCTTGGCAAGTTGCCTGGGCTGTTCTCGAACCCGTGGGCTCAGACAATTCCCTCACCTCGGCCTTGACATTCTTAAGGTGGCAATTTCAGGAATCAAAACCATATGAAACATTGTGCATCAAAATTCCTATAACCCCACTTGGAAACCACACTGGGATAGGGGTGGGAGGGATTATTTATTTTGTTTTTTGACTACAACATTATTTTTCAGTTTAATTTCTCTTTTAATTAATTTAGCAGGTAGGCAGGCATAATGTCTACTTTTTGGGTGAAAATAAAAACAAAACAACATGTGGTATTTACTATAATGGTAGTAATAATAATAAATAAATAAAGCCAAGACTCACAAAAAAGCACATACTTCAAACAGGTATTGATTTTCTAAACATTTTACAAGCATGAATTAATTCAATCCTCACAGCAAATTTTCAGGATGTGTGTTACTACTATTGTCATTTTCTGTGACAAAACTCATTTAGAAAAAGGCTAAGTGACTTGCCCACAATCACATGAATAATGAGTGAAGGAGCGAGGATTCAAACCCAAGCAGTCTCTAGTCTTAGGCACTATGGCTTATCGTGGCAATAAAAAATACTCTGTGCATTAGTTCTGACAAAGTTCTATAAAGCCACAAAAACAAAGCTGTCAGGACCCCCAGAATCCTCTGTATTTCTGGTAAAACAAACAAACAAACAAATCAGTCTCTAATAGCAATAAGCCTTTTGGTCAGGTTCTACCTACCGATCGATCTATCATCTATTTATTTTAGAGTTGAGGTCTCACTCTGCCACCCAGGCAGTGGCACGATTATGGCTCACCACAGTCTTGGACTCCTATTCTTCAAACATACAAGGTTTTGCTATGTTGTTTGATCTCCTGACCTCAAAT